AATGAAATCCCGTCCTGGCGATTCGCGCAACGGGATTTCTAATGATTTTTATTTAGCTCACTTCAAGTCTAGCAACCTTAGGGCCTTAGAAAAAGCTAGCCTTATGCTCCATGTCCGAGTGAAGTGGGAACACTTCAGGAAGACTGGAGGAAATTTCCAAAACCTCACCCAGTGCCGTAAGCGCCAGGAATGTGGTCATGGAACTAAAATTTGCTACATGCCAGCTAAATGCATGAATTGTGGTGATTCCTCTCACGCAAAGGACGACTGTCCTGTGAAGGAAGATCCTAAGAAATTTAAATGTTCAAATTGTGGTGAAAACCACAAATCCAATTTTTGGGAATGTAAGACTCGCAAAGCGATCCTACAATCTCGTTCTAACCGACAGGTAGGAAACGCTCCACGTTTCCGACCAGGTACAACGTTAACAACGGTCAGCGAGGAACAAATTCTATATTCGTACCCGTAGGTACAAATATCACCCCTGCTTCAAATTTTTCATCTGTACCTACTCCCCTCGCTGCTAACAATGTTCAGCGAGTTAATGGAGCTACCTATGCTGCTATTGCAACGGGTAGAAATCAAAATACTAACCAACGTAATTCTAACGGGAATTTTGACAATTTTGACTTAGGAAGCATTACTGCCCCTAAAATGGAATTTTTACAGAAATCATTAATTGACATAATTTCTGATATGCTTAAATCTAACTCCATGTTTGATGCTATTCAAACTGGGGTAAAATTTGCAATCAATATTGTCATGACTTTAAAATTCAGTAAGGGTTTTAAAGCATTAAATATTTTAAATTGGAATGCTCGATCTCTTAAAGATAATGAAGACGAGCTATTTAACTTTTTGAGAGTTCATAACGTGCATACGGCCGTTATAACTGAAACGTTCCTTAACCCTGACCGTAAGGTTAAGAAGGACGCAAATTATTTGATTTATAGAAATGATCGTCTTGATGGAGCCTGTGGTGGCGTTGCCATCATTGTTCATAGACGAATCAAACATAAAATTGATTCTTCATTTGAAACCAAAGTTTTTGAAACTTTGGGTGTTTCTGTTGAAACAAAATTTTGACAACTTACGTTTATAGCTGCCTATTTGCCATTCCAATGCGTAGGCCAGCAAAAAAATTTTCTCAAGGGTGACCTTCAGAAACATACCCGTCATAGGTCTAAATTCTTTATTATTGGTGATTTTAATGCAAAACACCGCTCATGGAATAATGTTCAAAGCAATTCCAATGGTAATATTCTGTTTGATGATTGTTCTGCAGGTTATTACACTATTCAATATCCAAACAGCCCAACATGCTTTTCTTCTGCAAAAAATCCCTCAACTATTGATTTGGTCTTAACTGATTCATGTCAACTTTGTAGCCAATTGGTTACTCATGCTGACTTCGGTTCTGATCACCTTCCAGTAACTTTTGAAATATCCTGAATCTCTGACTACCTATACAGTTGAAGCAAGAGCTGCCTCAGTTCCAAAATGCGAGGTTAAATTCGATTCAATTATAATAGACGACGATCTTCAGCTCTTGATCCGTCTTAAAAATGTCCGTAGGAGACAATATCAAAGAACACGCGATCCTGCCATGAAAGTTATCTGGCGGGATTTGCAAAAACAAATTAAAAAACGATTCTCTGCCCTAAGGAACAAAACTTTTGAAAATAATGTTTCTAAATTAGACCCGAGTTCCAAACCCTTTTGGAAACTCACAAAAATTAAAAAAAAAACCTCAAAAGCCAATTCCAGCGCTTAAAGAAGGTGGTAAAATTTTGATCACAAATTTGGAATAAGCTCAGAAACTTGCTAAGCAATTCGAGAGTTCCCATAATTTCAGTTAGGGTCTTACTAGTCCTATTGAGAATTACGTTGCTCGGGATTATCTGAATATTTTCTCTCGGGAAAATATTTTTGATGATTCCCGGTGGACTGATTTGGACGAAGTAAGGTCTATAGCTAAAAAGTTTCAAAATATGAAAGCTCCAGGTGATGATGGAATTTTCTTTATCATCATGAAAAAACTCCCAGAGAGTACCTTGTCTTTCTTGGTAAAATTTTTTAACAGATGTTTCCATTTGGCATACTTTCCTGATAAATGGAAAAATGCAAAAGTTGTTCCAATTTTGAAGCCGGATAAAAATCCAGCTGAAGCTTCTAGCTACCGTCTTATTAGTTTGCTTTCTTCAATAAGTAAACTTTTTGAAAGGATAATTTTGAATAGAATGATGCATCACATCAATACGAACTTAATTTTTGCAGATGAGCAGTTTGGATTTCGTCATGGGCATTCAACTACTCATCAACTCTTAAGAGTTACCAATTTAATTCGTTCAAACAAATTGGAATGCCACTCAACTGGAGTTGCTCTTTTAGACATAGAAAAAGCATTCGACAGTGTTTGGCATGAAGGTTTGATTGCTAAATTGAAAAAGTTTAATTTTCCAGTTTACATTATGAAATTAGTTCAAAATTATTTAACTGACAGAACTATGCAGGTAAATTATCAAAATTCCATATCTAGTGTTGGTTGGAAATGCTAACATGAAGCTTTAGTGTGATGATTTATTAGCTAGAGAATGATCTTTAGAAGAGGGTAGGTGGATAGTTCCGTTAGAGTACGGCAGTATGAAAATTGAATAGAAGTTGAAAATGAGCGAAGGGCCATTAAAGCGACAGTTTACAAGATAGACGCACATTTTTGCCTAGCCCGTACGATGTACGCGGGGACTTGAAGTATGTCTCCAAGTCCACAGGCAAAAATGTGCGTCCCTCTTGTTGCTCATAAACTGACTGCGGCTGTGGAATAGTTCTAGCGACGTTTTCATCACTACCTAAAGCCCCACGTTGGGAGAGCATTTCCAGTCGATGGTGTGTTATAATGCAGTTCTTCTTTACCCAACTATTGTGTTGCTCCTCTCGTCATGACCAACGTGATCATCTCAGAGAGAAAGCAGTAGGGTGGTTGTTGCGTGCTGTACCATCATCAGCATTGTTGACGGCTACTCCCGCCTTGAGTTGTTACATTCAAAGTGTTTTTATGTTACTTCATACGCGAAGTTAGCGATTTTTTTTTTGCTTCTAAATATTTCAATGCTTGTATTTTTCATGAGCTTTTTTTATATATAAAAAAAATAACATGAAAATTGAAGGTAAACTTTTTTAAATATTTTAGTGTTTAAAACTTTTTAAGATTTTTAATTCAAATCAACTAAAAGAAAATAACGGTGTATATTTTCTCAGAAAACCTTTTCTTTTTTCAACAAGTTTGTCTCAGACGTCATTTCACGCAGAAGGGATGTTTTCGTGCAACAATTTATTGAAAAATATCAAAGACGCCATTTTGAAGAAAAAATTGAAGATCCAAAGTGGTCAAGTTATGGGAAAAATGTGAATGATTGACCATAATCAACAATTTTGGAATATTACATGCAAATTGGAGAAGAAATTGTTTACTTTTTATTTTTTGCTATTTGGCCGGGAAGTGCTCTTATCCCACATCAGGCCACGGCGGGACCCCAGTCAATTTCGGATGGGCCACCTGCTGATACGAAATTGGTCTTGACTTTTATGGTCGTTTAGAGGTTGTTTCTTGAATCTTGGTGATGAAATTTCGGCAATTTGTTTTTTTGGTTGTCGAGGTCGAGCACGTAAAGGTTAATCATTGTGGAAGCGCTTCTAAAGGGTGATACGGTCAAAATTTGGTCAATATCAACTTGACGTATTTCTTTCAATTTTGCATTTAAAAAACCTGAACACCCCTCATTTTGAAGGTGTGTGTGTGTAGAATGTTGCTCCTATTTTGATTTTGGAATTCACTCTTCAGTTGTCAAAATGCCGTCCAAGCAAGAAGAGCAGCGTATCAAAATCGGGGGGAAATCGAAAACCGGAAGCCGCTGAGACGACAAAGAGAGTTTCCGGTAGTTTCAAGCGAAACCCTAACCTCTCTCTCCGAGATGCCGCAAATAAGCTGGGTGTATCGTCTACAACCGTGCATCAACCAAAAAAACGAGCCGGACTATCGACTTACAAGAAGGTAGTGACTCCAAATCGCGATGATAAACAAAATACGACGGCCAAAGCGCGATCCCGGAGGCTGTACACGACGATGCTGACGAAGTTTGACTGCGTGGTAATGGACGACGAAACCTACGTCAAAGCCGACTACAAGCAGCTTCCGGGACAGGAGTTTTATACGGCAAAAGGAAGGGGAAAGGTAGCAGATGTTTTCAAGCACATGAAACTGTCAAAGTTCGCAAAGAAATATCTGGTTTGGCAAGCCATCTGTACCTGTGGCTTGAAAAGCAGCATTTTCATAGCTTCCGGGACTGTCAACCAAGAAATTTACGTGAAAGAGTGTTTGAATAAACGTCTGCTGCCTTTCCTGAAGAAACACGGTTGTTCCGTACTGTTTTGGCCGGATTTGGCATCTTGCCATTACGGTAAAAAGGCCATGGAGTGGTACGCCGCCAACAACGTGCAGGTGGTTCCCAAGGACAAGAACCCTCCCAACACGCCAGAGCTCCGCCCAATTGAGAAATACTGGGCTATTGTCAAGCGGAACCTAAAGAAGACCAAAAAAACTGCTAAGGGCGAGCAGCAGTTCAAGGCAAACTGGCTTTCTGCGGCGAAGAAGGTGGACAAGGTGGCTGTACAAAATCTGATGGCAGGGGTCAAGCGTAAGGCCCGGCAATTCGGATTTGGAAAAGCGGAAGCCTAACTGAATATTTTTCCTGAATTTTATACTAATTGAACTTGAAAAAGAAATTTAATTTGATTTTTTAAATAAACGATTTCACCGATTTACACGCGTTTTCCCTTGACCAAATTTTGACCGTATCACCCTTTATAATATTCTTGAACAAGTTGAGATTCAACAAAGCGCTTGCTACTGAACCGTAATAAGCCTAGAAGTAGAAAAAGAAGAACCAACATCGGCACAAAAAAAACTAAACCACCTGCATTATTTCGTTGTTTATTTGCAGGACTACGGAACCCTCCTCTGCTGGGGAAGCAACGACATCGGTACCCAAACCGAGCCCTGTGTGTTCAGCTTAATTCCAGCAGGTAAGCCGCTTAAATTCCAACCAAAGATTAATGGCATTCAATGAAAATATTCCACTATTTCACAGGAAAACCCGATCCGCTGTCCAACTGCACTATCATGAATCAAACGTTCGACATCCTTCAAATCGAGTGCATCGAAGGCTTTGACGGGGGCCTGCAGCAGGAGTTTCTAGCCGATGTGTATCTGATTGGCGGTCGGCATTTGTTCAGTTCCATCAAATCCAAGTAAATTTCCCACATTCTCTATTCCGTCGAATTTTATTGTACGTTATTAATCACCCCCAGGGAGCCCAACTTCGACCTAAAAGGCCTGGAACCGGGCGTCGGTTACAACATCTTCCTGTCTGCCAAAAACGCGAAAGGTGCCAGCGAGCAAACCTACCTGCAGGCCTACACTTTGAAGAATCCGGAAAAGCAAACTGGTAAGCATGAATAGGATCGAAACCCTACCGGTGGTGGTGCACTTCCGGACGTCAAAAGCAGCTCAAACTCAAATTGAATTTTTCCCCGGTCGTACTTGCATCCTGGTAAATTGACTCAATAGCTTTCCTCTTTGCGCCCTGCAGGGGAAAACGAAAATATCGACTTCACTAATCTTGACTCGCCGGGCTCCATTACCTGAAAAGGTTTCCCGGGGCAACTACCGAAAATCGTCCAATAATCAAAAGTTTTAATTGCTTCGTCAAAACTTTGGGGCTCCATTTGCAAGAGCGAAACGATGACGTCTTCCTTCCTCGAACCGGGATTGTTTTTGATTTGGTTTCTTCCCTGTCCCTGTGTAGATCTATCGCTCGTATACGCACCGACACTTCACCAAATTAAGCCCTTCATCGGAACGCTGCTGGGGGTTGTGGCGGCCATCATCTCCATCGCTTCCATCATCGTCTGTGTCACGCGACTGCGAGGGTCGGCCGGCCGGGATCGGGAATGTAGCAATATATCCACGAACGATGCATCCGGCATCAGCCAGTCGCTACCTACCGAAGGGGATCTGGCCCGGGAGCAGCAGTGCAACGGCAGTATCGATAGCATCGAGAAGAACCCGGACATTATACCGCAAGGTGAGCCAGAAGCCAGCAGTGGCTTCTTGGATTTTGATCTCCGGTGGAGTGGGCCGGGGAGAGTATCATCAGACAGTGTGTGGGAACCTTGATTTGATTGATTAATTTGAATCTTAATTATAAGCGAGAACAACCCGATGACAAAGAATACACACTATTCCCGACCCACTCCCAAGCGTCCAGTTTTCCAGTCGCCATAAGTTTCAGTCTCTCTACACTCCGCAGGGAAACTTCCGCACTTGCTGGAAGAAGACGAGAAAGCATTCGAGTGGCTCAACAGTGCCGGTACCCATCCGCGGTTGTACGCGACGGCGGCCATGGCCGAACAGCAGCAACACCAACAGGTAGGCGTTGGAGTTGGCGTGCTGGGGCCTCCGACGGGCGTGGGGACCTACGACAGCCGGACATTTTACGCGACGATGCGTGACGGCAGCTGTATGCAGCAGAACGTCTACCCGGTCGTCGATAATCAAAATTACATTCCCGTGCACAGCGGAATCATCCCGACGCCGGTGATAGGTGGCTACGGGTCCGACAGTCACAAGGTGAGTTAGTTGAGCCGCGTTGCACTGTTTGTTGTTTGTACGGGAGTTAAGTTAATGATTATTTCTCTTGTACCCCCACTGCGGATGACAGCATGACCTGACGTACGCAGACCTAACGTCGCTGGCCGGTGGTCAGGTGCAGCCGAAGCAAATGTACGTGAGTGCAACCCTCGGCCGACCGCGGCAATCAGACATCAAACGAAGTGAGCCGACAATCTACGCACAGGTAATTTGCAGTGAACTTCTATTTATCGTCCAATGCCGGGCGGGGTTTGCTCCACGTTGGAAACTAGATTTTGATTCGCGCAAATTGACTTTGTAGAAGCCGCGACCATGGGAGGCGAAAGCACGCGGCTCCTATTCAATTGCCGAATGAACATTCTGACCACGTGGGAATCTGGTTAGCGCCGAGTATTCACTGGAGAGCTGATGCAAGTAATGGAATCTAGCTGCATGTATTCATATTATGGGTAAAATTGGGCTGGGTGATTTAGCGAGAAGCGATTGCATGGTTGCTTGCTATAATGAGAAATTTGTTCAATCAAATGTTAACAGAATGAAATTCTGCCATGAATATGCGATGAAGTTTAATGATAATGGAAGGTGGGATGAAGGGTAGGGTTCACAAAGCAGCTATAATAACTATGTGAATAGTTATCCACCTACATGTGATAAGATCTGACTCTCCTTGCTAATTGAATTCCAGCCAAAATTGTCGAATCCGCATCCAGGAAGTGAAGGTAGACAATTTATCAATTATATTAATGTGACTCTGTAGATTCAGGCTACTTTGTCGGGGACATCCGGATCATGCCCGGTTGTAGCTTATGTGGATCCGGGCACAACATGCAGGGCTGTTACAACAGGCGCGGATTTCGCGAATTTCGCGGATCTCGCGATTTTCGCGGATTTGTCGCGGATTTGAACTTTCAGTCGCGAAAATCGCGGAAACATTAAATGATGTCGCGAAAATCGCGAAGAGACTGATGTGCTGTCACAAAAAATGTGGAATTCATTTTTTTTTTATTTATATGAGTTTTATTTGTACAGGCTCAATCGAATAAACTTTACAGAGCCAAGTTATCATTTTCTTTATACATTATAAATGTCTTAAATCTAAAATTAAAGGATGTGAACCGATTACTCACGGTCTTCTCGAGGTTAGTGGATGACAATTGTTTGGATCGGGAGAGGGAAAAGGAGATTTGGAATGTGATTTATGATTCAAAAATGTCACTATTTCTAAAACATATACTTAATCCTATCGACGTTATATCAACTCTGTAATTATACAATTATTACAGAAACAAATCTACAAAAAAAAAAAATACACACACACATACAAAACACAAACTAAACACAAGGTTAATCAAACTTACAATCTATGGTTAATATTCTTCAAGAAAACATATATGAGTTGCATAAACTCCAGATCGCGTCTAGCCAAAATATCCCGAACTGGAACATTAGGTTGTCTACCTCGAGCTCGAAGGGAATCGTACAACTCGGATCTGACTCCACGGTGCTCAGCACATGACCAAATAATGTGATGTGCGTCCTGGTAGCCTTATCCACATTCACAGAGATTGCTGTCCTTCAGCCCAACACGGAACAAGTGAGCGCTTAGTGAATAGTGATTGGACATGAGGCGAGACATCACACGAATGAAGTCTCGACGCACCTCCAAACCTTTGAACCAAGGACACTTCGACACCTTAGGGATAATTGAATATAACCATCGTGACTGTTGACGATAAATGAAGAAAAATTCGTCGTAGGCGATTTGTCGATCGTAAATATCGCCTTCCATAGCGCCCACCTTTGCAAGCGAGTCCGCCTTCTCATTGCCCGGAATCGAGCAATGAGATGGGACCCATGCAAAGGTGATGACAAAAGATCTTAAAGATAAAGCACTTGGAAGCTCTCGTATTTTCATGAGAAAATACGAGGAGTGCTTTACCGCCTCATGGAGCGAATAGCCTCGACAGAACTGAGACTATCCGTAAAAATGAAATAATGATCTGGTGCAAGTGAGGCGATCGTATAATGTATTGCCGCCAGTTCAGCAACATATACGGAACAAGGAGCATGAAGCATTCGAGAGGCGCTATGAAATTCATTATAAATACCAAAACCAGCGGACGCCTCTATTAGTGATCCATCTGTGAAGAACGATCTTGCGGAATCAACTTGGCCAAACTTTGCAGCGAAAATTGACGGAGCAATCATGGAACGATGATGCTCTGGGATTCCGCGAATCTCTTGCGTCATGGAGAAATCAAATAGAACAGAATTGTTGAAGTCGGAGAAGCAAACACGATAGGGATTATGCTGCGAAGGGCTGACATCCTGTGTTATGTACACGTAGTACAATGACATAAAACGAGTTTGAGGGTTTAGCTCAAGAAGCTTCTCAAAGTTTGCAATCACCAGTGGGTTCATAATTTCACAACGGGTGAGGAGCCTGAGGGATAATTCCGAAAACCGATCAGAGAGTGGCAACATGCCCGCTAACACTTCGAGACTCATCGTATGAGTCGAGTGCATGCATCCTAACGCGATACGAAGACAGCGATACTGGATCCGTTCCAGTTTGATGATGTGAGTTTTAGCCGCCGACTGGAAGCAAAAACTACCGTACTCTAAAACCGATAAAATCGTTGTCCGGTACAACGTTAGAAGATCTTGCGGATGGGCTCCCCACCACGTTCCGGTAATTGTTCGGAGAAAATTGATCCTTTGTTGGCATTTCCGCTTCAGATACTCAATGTGGGATCTCCAGGTGCATTTTGAATCGAACCAGACCCCAAGATATTTGAAGGACATAGAATGAGTGATCGGTTTACCCAAAAGTTGAAGCTTTGGTTGTGCTGGGCTATGCTTCCTAGAAAAAACGACCAACTCAGTTTTCTCCGTGGAGAATTCGATACCTAGCTGGATAGCCCAAGTAGACAAATTGTCTAAGGTATCCTGTAAGGGTCCTTGCAGGTCGGCTTCTCTGGGTCCTGTCATAGACACTACTCCGTCATCTGCAAGTTGTCTCAACGTGCAATTGTCCCTTAGACAATTGTCAATTTCTCTGACGTAGAAATTATACAGAAGGGGGCTTATACATGAGCCCTGGGGGAGGCCCATGTAGCTAAATCGTGAAGCTGTAGAGTTTCCATGAGAAAAGCTCATATGTTTCTCTGACAGCAAATTGTACAAAAAGTTATTAATTAATGGAGAAAGGCCACAAGCGTGGAGTTTGTCTGAAAGGACTTCAACCGATACTGAATCAAAAGCCCCCTTAATATCCAAGAAGACAGAAGCCATTTGCTCTTTATTAGCAAAAGCCAACTGAATTTCAGTGGAAAGCAACGCGAGACAGTCGTTCGTTCCCTTGCCCCTACGGAAACCAAATTGAGTATCTGAGAGTAGGTGGTTCAACTCAACCCATTTGTCCAGGCGAAAAAGGATCATTTTCTCCAACAATTTTCGAATACACGATAACATCGCAATGGGACGATACGAGTTGTGATCTGACGCGGGTTTTCCAGGCTTTTTAATGGGTATAACTCTCACCCGCCTCCAATCATCCGGAACAATATTAAGCTCCAAGAACTGACCAAACAAGTTCAACATGCGCCTCTTAGCGACGTCTGGGAGGTTCTTCAACAAGTTGAACTTGATTCTATCAGCCCACGGAGCCGAATTGCCACACGAAAGGAGCGCGAGTGAGAGCTCCAGCATTGAAAAAGGCTGGCTGATCTCGTCTACCGAATTCGTCAGGAATTCAGGACAGAATCAGGACATACTTTTCGCGCGAACTTGAGAATCCAACTATCCGAGTACTCCTCACTCTCGTTGTGTGAAGACCGGTTACGCATCCTTCGCGCCGCATTCCAAAGCGTATTCATCCACGTTTCGCGCGATAATCCGTCCACGAATTGCCGCCAGTATCCGCGTTTCTTGGCTTTGATGAGGCTCTTGAGTTCGCGTTCAAGAGCCGAGTACGCTTCGAAATGTACGGGTGTTCCACGTTTCCGGAAAAGCTTAAATGCATCGGATTTTTTACGATAAACCTCAGTGCATTGCTGGTCCCACCAAGGGGAAGGAGGTTTCCTACGGAAAGACGTTCCTGGAACCGGCCGAGTTTGAGCTTGAAGCGCGCTGTCCAAGATCAGATTGGAGAGGAAGTTATATTCCTCCAACGGTGGAAGCCCTTCTACCGACGTAAGGGCATCTTCTATCACATTCTTGAACTTTGTCCAATCGATATTACGGGTAAGATCGTACGCGACGTTAACGGGTTCCGACGGATTGAACCCACTGGCAACTGAAACTTTGATCGGTAAGTGATCACTACCGTGGGGATCTTGGATCACATTCCACGTGCAATCCAACGATAATGAGTTAGAGGAAAGTGTGAGGTCTAATCTACTTCCATTCGAGGATGGGCCAGCCAAACGTGTTACTTCTCCATTGTTAAGAATTGTTATATTAAAGCTGTCGCAGAGGTCATATATCAAAGTAGAACGGTTGTCATCATACAGTTCCCCCCAGCCAAATCTCCCATAATCAACCGTGGAGCAGGAAGTACCGAACAGATATCTGAAAGTTGTTTGCGATTAACAACGGCTCTAGGAGGAATATAAACAGAAGCAATACAAAGGCTCTTACCTTTAATAATAGCCTGACATGCGACAACTTCAATACCTGGAAATTGTGGAAGATTCACTCTATAGAAGGAATGGCACTTTTTGATCCCCAAAAGTACTCCTCCTCCACGCGAATCCTCACGATCCAGTCGAATAATGTTAAAATCATAAAAAGAAAGATCGATATCTGAAGAGAGCCAAGTTTCACACAGAGCAAATGCATCACAATCATTATTGTGAACTAAAAACTTAAAAGAATCTAATTTAGGAATGAGACTTCGACAATTCCACTGTAGAACAGTGATCAAATCCCCGACCTCGTTTGGAAAATTATCCATCGAAGGAAATGATTGCTGCAATGAGGGGCCACTTCAATGTCAATTGCTTCAAGAGGGTCTTCACAGAAGGAAGCATTGCCAGAACAATGCTTTTGAGAGGATCAGAAATATTGAGGTACTTGAGAATATCGTCCACAATTTTATCAAATGAGAACAACCCGGATGAAGAAGGGGCTTCTGTTTTTAAAAATGGGCCATCAGGGGTTTTTGATGTCCCCGGGAGAGATGGAAAGTTCTGGTTATAGTCA